TGGGATGTCCAAAGGCCAAAAAATGTCCACTTAGATCTTGGGAGATTTCACACTAAATTAAAAAATTAAATCTAGTCACGAGGTGAGTCTTCAAAGGGGAAAAAGGTTCCACCAGACTGCTGTTGGATAGACTAATAAAATTAATTAATAAAGGTTACATGCTAGATATGCAAGTACTGAGTCCCACATCTGCATTGAAAATCAAATACAGACTACCTTGGACAAAAATACTGACATGCAAGATACTGCTAAACTGGGAGAAGACTTAGAGAATCAACCTGAAGAAAGAGATCAACCTGGGTTTATCTGACAACAAAGTTTACTCCCCCAAAGAGAGAACAAGCAGAGGGCTAACCAGGAAACTGCTGGAGATGACCCACACACAGAAGAAAGAAAACAACCACAGAAACTACTATGAGAGACCCAAACCATTAAGAGTAACCCAGCAGCCATTGAAAACTGCAGTCTACGTTCTTGTGTGTGACCAGATTGCTTTAGGGAGTTTGTTTTCTTCCCCTCTTGGATTACAAAAGAATACATACGTGACTAAATTTGTGTTTGCATCTCTACGAGAATTATAAATAAAATAACAAGATTTGCAGAATTTGCTGAGCACCAGTTCTTTGAAGATGATGGCAGGTAGCAAACATTTAGCATTTTTTTAGGATTAGGAGCTGCAATACAGACTTTTAACCTTTTCTCTCCAGATTCAGAAAAATCTTGGGCGATGTCCTACCAACAGAGGCCACACCTTCCAAGACAACTCAGGAAAAGAACTGCCAGAAGTTTTTTGGGTTTTGTTTCTTTGTTTGCTTTTTAATTTCTTGTTCTGACTGTATCATACAAAGGAAGAGGGATTAGGAGGTCTGCTGTAAAGAATGCAGACCAGAAAAGAAATGAAAGAAAGATTAAAATAAATTCTGTCAGTAGAAAAAAAAGACAGGGATCATCACTGAGAGAACTTCACTTTCAGACACACTGATGCTCTGTTGCTTACTGTATACATGGCACGGATAACTCTTCCCTCAGGTATCTTACTGCTTTGGAAATACATCTCCTTCTTCCCACTCTGATTTAATATAAATTATTACACCTAATTCAGGCGATGCAAACTTAGGCTCAGCATCTGGGTAGCACCTTCAAATAATCTTCTTTATTGCCACTGCAAGTAAGACTAAGTTCTCATATCCAAGGCTGAGCCTTGCTCCATTTCACCACAACCCACTGGCACCAGAAGAGTGGAGCACAGTACATGGGGTGCAGGTGCGACAGTGGGGACTGCATGCCCCTGCAGGGATAACAATGAGGCAAGGGGACCAAACACAGCCCAAATGCAGTATGTTTGCTGCCACTGCAAAGCTTCATCACACTGGCAACCTGTGGCTCAGCGCATTTCCCAGGGACCCCATGGTGCCCTGACACACAGTGAGGCTGTCCCTCAGCCCTGAAACTTCACATGCTCCCTCCTCCCCCAGCCCTTCCCACCCCACCCACAGAAACTTAAGGCTACTTCAGCTGCAGAAATTTGGTTTTCCCCTATAGGGATGATAATTACATACCTAGGAAAGAGATTAAACCCCCCAAAAGACACCAAGAGCTGGAACAGTTCCCAAAGGAAGGTAAGCTGCACACCTTCTCCCCCAAGCATCCCTCCTCCACTGGCCACACACAAAGGACACCTTAGCTGTGCTAGGAAAGGAGTACTCAAAAAAGCAAGCCAACCTGTTCTGCAGGAAAACCCAGGGGCAAGCTGACATCCCCCTACCCTAAGAAACAGCAGAGGGGGGCTGTCAGAGCCAGCACGTCACAGCATTCACGCCAGGACTTACTCCATTTAATCATGGCCAGCAGCTGATAGGGACGAAACATCCAGACACCCAGGAGCCCATAGGAACTTGCAGCCCACAAGCCTCTAATAATTTCTTTTTTTTTTTTCCTCTCTTTTTTTTTTCTTCTCCCAATTCTGAAGGCATGTGACTGGCCTTCACATACCAGAGCTGACCCCTCCCAGAGCCAGTGATTTCCTAAGAGCAGAGAAGGATGTTACACTCCCGCTTATTCATTACAAAACTAGGTTTCTTTACTGGTAAGCATTAAAAGCTCACGCCATCTAGGGTCCATGTGTCAGTTCTGCTCAGGATCCCTCCGGAGAGATGTGAAATGTACTGTGGTGCTCAGCTACCTTCTATAAGGAGGAGAAGGCCATGGGGAGCACCTGCTCCCCCCTTCCTAATTGGCACACAGCTCAGTTTCCAGGTGTAAACCATTAACTCTTCGCTCTCGCATTCACCCTCCTTTTCTGTACCTGATAGTGAAGAACTGCCAGTATTTCACTCTGTTCTCCCATACGTTGGTGCTGGTACTTGGAAGCATACTCTCTCCCCACACATTTTCCCACACATTTCTTTTATGTCACTGAAATACCGCGGCACAAGGAGCTGCTGAGGTTTTGCTTTCGGTTTTAGTTCACTTGGGTTGGCAGCTCGGTTTCTGGAAAACGGGGGTTTATGATGCTTCTTGTGCTGCACTGCAATTCTGCATTGCCTTGCTCCCAAGCTCCACCGCCTCACATCCCAAATTCCCCCACTTCACTTTGCAGTTGCCACTGTTCACACGCTGAGAACCCCACACCTGGAGTTCAGCTCTACAGGATGGGGTCCTCCAGCTGCTCCCCTGCCTGCACACATCCTTCAGTCACTCCACCTCAGAGAGTGGGCAGAGAGAGCTCGGGAGCCTCGGGTACCAGGAGAGCCAGCAGATCCGCAGAGGGCGCAGAGACCTCCGGTGGCTCCACGACATATCGCAGGCAAGCTGCTGCCGGGGGCTGCGGGACGCAGGCAGGGCCAGGGAGCGCTGCCTGGACCTAGCAGGGCACTGGGCTTGCTGGACCACTTCAGCGTGTGCCCCTTGATGCTCTGCCACGCCAGGCAGGTGCTACGCATGGGAAACTACAGCCTCAGTGCAACCGCAGGCACCATAGGATACAAGGACTTAGAGCATGTGGGCTTTCGGTTGAAAAAACAAGTCTGGGATTGCTTCGCCACCGAGCAAGCAAACTCTTAGAAATAGTACCCATGGCTCAGGCAGCTATTTCTGGTTCACCTGAGCATCACAGTGACACACCATCCTGACTGCTTTGTGAATAAATCCCATGCAGTAGCCCACCCTCCCAGCATGCACACAGTGCTCCTCACCTGTGCACTCAATCACTGTGATTCATCTCTGGCTCCAACCATACAGCATCTGTCAGTCACCTGTACCCTGGCGCAGTACAACACGATACTAGAATATCACAGTGGGGGGTGGTTAATAAGGGTATCGGCCGGAGGACCACCCTGTTGGACACATCCACGGCTGGCTGTACTGCTGCAGATACACTCTATCAGTACTTACCTTAACAGAGCGAGCCTCCGAGGCTCGTCCCCAACAGAGCCCTGGAGACTACAATGGTAGAGCTTTCTCACAAACCAAATTTTGGCGACACTTCTTTTTTCCTTTTTTATTAAGGGGAGGAAAAGAAGAATTTAAAAATCCTCTGTTGGTTTATCACTATGGCTGCAAATTTAAACTAAAATTAATTCCTAATGAAATCCACACTAGGCAGGCACCTAATGTGTCTCTAAGCACTATCTAAGCACACCTTGTCTTCAAGGTAACTTCTCTCTTGATGACCTGATGTAGGCCTTACTTGACAGTACTTTTTAGTTACTAGATGCTACAATTACGGAGTAACAGAATCAGGGCCTCTATGTGCTGCTTGTCCTCCACTGCCCGGTCTTAGGACAATCTCTGGTTTCAGTTCCGGGAACTGCAAGTGTCAGGACTGACCTCTGTTTCTGGCTCCATACTGGTTTGTAGCAGATTAGCAGTCACTTATTGCCTATTGGCACCAAGCAGTTCAAGGTTGCACAAGATTTAAACACCCTTTTTTCCAGCAGGATTGATGGAAAAAAACTTTTAAAGAACTAACTCCTTCTGCCTGTTCTTTTAAGGGCAAACTGAACTTGAGTCCATAAAGTCAGCAAAACTATTTCTGCTCAAAGTACTTCTTTCACACTAGGACAAAACGAATAAACCAGATGAAAAACCACTGGCTCCCAGAAAAGCTCAGACTAGACTAGTCTTATCTAAGGGAATAGACTAAGGACTCTTAGAAAACATCCTGTCCCTGGAGGATGGAGACCTTGAGGCATCTCTGTCACTCACAAGGTCACTCACCCCTCCACAGATTACTGCTTTCGGCTTGACTCCCCACTTTGCCTGTCACTGCCTTTCACTCTCCCCAATCTTCCTGACAACACACCGCAAGGGAAGTCTGCTCACAGAGTGAGTTTCTAAAGTTACACATTATTTTCTGACCACTTAGCCTAGTTTTTGCTTCTCACATGACTTTTCCCTTAATTGATTTTCTTATCTCTTCCTTTACCTAAATGGAATTGTTAACATTTTTTGCAACACTCCCTCCACTCTCAATCAGTAACTAGTGCACAAATGAAAGAAGGAGCTAACAGTAATCCTATGGACACGCTGGGAGCAAAAGCTTGTCCCAGAGAGGAAAAGCTATGCCCAGAGACACACCTTTAACATCCAGATCTCAAACTGCATTTGGACAACTCATCCATGTGCACAGGGTGTTATTGCTCCTAAAATTGCTGTTAACAAATTCAGGTATAAGTGGAGCTGAACAAGGTTCATCTGTAACCGGTAACTAACTTCTCCAGGGACAGGTCCCAGAGATGTAACAATACCAGCCAGCCTCTTACCGACACAAGTATCACCTACAAAACATTCATAAAGTAAATTTGCTCTTTTCTAAAGAATGGCAGGTTTGGATGGCTCATTTCTCTCCTGCAGCTCACTCAGTTACATTGGAAATTATTCTCTGTAGAAAACATGACGTGTTGAAAGAGGCAAAACTACACTCCATGACAGTCTGCTGAAATAAAGAGAGACTAGGGAAAAATCAGCATGTACACAGAAAGCTCACCCACTGCTTTTACCTTTCCAAACGAGGGATTTCTGTGACGTCTCCTCTGAAGAGTGTTCCACTGAGATCCCTTAAGCCATTGGTGATGCCTTCACCATAGCCCTTCACCTCCCCATCAGGGGGAAGCTGCCCCAAGACTGACGTCCGATCTAAAAACTGGCCACCCTCCTTCATGCGCTGCTGGATCATGGGAGTGAGTGGCATCTCAAAGCTGAAGTAGCTGTCAGGCTCCGAGTACAATGTCTCCAGCGACTCTGCACTGTAGTATAAAGATGCATTGTCTAGGATGTTTTCAAACTGTGAGCTGTACAGATCAGTGGAGATGTCAGAGTGCCTCTGCCCAAGGACATCTTCATATCCTCCTGTGGCTGCTTCCCCCTCATCCATCACCCTGGAAATTAATCAGAAACAGCTCGTTTCAGCTTAGGGGCAAGGTTTAGACCTCTGGGTGAACCTCCTCACCTTCCACCTTTGTGAACAGAAAGGTCAACATGGCTTCATGCAGGAGAGGACACTGCAGGTAAAATGCTAGTTTCTCCTTGCACCACCTCTCTTCATGACTGGCACCATCTCCCTCTCTAGGGACATAAAAAGAAACCATTTTCTGGGTAAAAGGAGGAGGCAGGGAGAAAGCCTAATACTGCCTAAAAGATAACATCAGCCACTCATGTGCAAAGGAGAAGAGCACTCAGATATGTGTAATGTCTCCACTAGCACTGCTGTTGTGTCAGAGGCAGCACAGGTCAGAGACGTGCACCCAGATGGGGCTTCTGCCTGTGGAGAACAGTTTGCTGGCTCTGCAGTCCTAGGGCTGAAGTCTTCAGCAAAAGGCTGGAGGAAATCCCTCCAAAATGCAAAGGGAAGCAAATGCAATGAAAAATCTAGAGCTGGGAGAACCAGATTGGAAGGGGGAAGATTCAGCCTGCTTGCAGATGCACAGGAGAATGTGTAGCAACCGCCTGCAGAAAGTTTGTTCCTCTGCTGCACCAAATAGTGCAAGACTTCTCACGGCACATGCCAGGCATCAGGGGTGCCCACCCAAGCGATCCCTC